ATATGACGATAAACAATGATTTAAACGACACGAACTTTCTCAGCGGTTCTTATACATTCTATAAGTATTCAATACATTTTTAGCTAAATTAAATTATCCTTTGGATAGCATACTTTATGTAGTTATGATTACAATTTAAAAATTATAGAAAAAAATCTCTATGATTGCACTGAATTAATTATTTTTATATAAAAATAAAATTATGTAAACATTTTGGTCGTATATGTATCATGTTAAATAAATGTAATTATTATCATTTATAATCTTGGTAATTCACCAATACATATACTTATATTATATTGTGTTTCCCATATAAATTGAATAATTTTCAAACTTTCTAGACACCGTGTTATATAATATACAATAGTTTGTGTGTATGCACTATACACAATAATATACTACAGGGCAGTAATTGGTACGTGACTGTCTTACCTTATTTCGTTAATCTAGTTTGTTAATAATCTTCAAATACCATTAAGCTACCAGTGCGAAAATCGGAACTTTTGGTAGCCAACAAAACAAAAAATGACTAGTTTAAAATATGTAAACCCAAGCGATTTGTGATGAGTATATTATAAGCTTAAATAAACGTGTGAAAAATATACATATACCTGTGTGATTATTGATGTGTGTGGATTAATAAAATGTACAATACACCGTAGCTGTGAGAGACTCACAATATTATATAAAGTATAAAATCAAGTCATCTCAACAATGTTTAACAATAAATAAATAAATAAAAACCGTTACTCAAATAACATAAATAAAATCCGTTTAATTAGTATAAAAAGTGCATGCAAATCCAAAATAATATATTTACAATAAATTTTCTATACAGTCTACTCACAATCATTATTGCACTCGAGGTATATCATAGCATATTAAATAATATAAAAAAGTATTAAGTAATAATTTCTACAAATGCAAAATTATTTACCTACTCAAACTTAATCTAATGCCTACTAGCATAAATACAAAAACAATCTTTTATACTAGATAGTTCACTGCTGGTGATTTAAAAAATACTAATATTATAAATTATTATGTCGAAAACTAGCAATAAAATAATATGAGGTTATATCGGTTAACTACAAATACCTTATTGATGTATACCTATACAACTTTAAATTGTCCTTAGCAAAACGAATTTTAAATAATTAGGCGTATCTGTGTTTGTAGTTTGTATTATTGGAAGGTTATATTTTGTCCTAAATTTATCAATACCTACTTACTTTGTATAGACAATATAGACTACAGACTATATAGGTAAGTACTAATATAGTACCGTACTTACGCAAGTAGTTATTTTGGGAATATGTTTTTTTTTTTTTTATCAAAAGATATAATCTTAAGTATCTGAGATTTCAGGAAGTGGTGTGTAACCTCAAAATCTTCCCTTCGCGTGAATATTATTAGTATTGAGTTAAATTATAGTAAACGAGAACGATCGAATAATTAATAAAATTTTAAATAAAATTTCTTAGTACATTGATATTTAAAAAAGATTATCGTTCAACTAAGTAACGATGATAAAAGTATAGATTAGTCGTTAAACTGGGCATAGCCAGAACATTCATAAAAAATTGTAAAGCTATAATGACTTAGGTAAATGATTTATTTGTAAAAATTATAAATGTAGGCACATTGTATTCCTATTTTTTTTTTTTTTTTTTTGAAAAAGGACAATTTATTAGTGTGTTAGCTCCTCCGGTGGCAACACTGGGCCACGAGACGGTCGCTCCGGGCGGCTTGACCCGACTCGGCCATACCCTCGCTCTGTTTCGCCGTTACCGCCGGACACGACGCGTGTGTCCGCGGACGAACTGCCGTTATCCGTAGTCACGCGTTTTTCGCTCCGGCGACGTTTGTATTTTAAGTTTAATAAATCGCACTGATACTGTAAACCGTGTTATTGTCTTTTAACGACTGTATCCTGACACCTCCCGTAAGCTTAATTCATAACGCTTTCAAATCAGAAGTGGGATACGACTCTTTTACGTACAAAGGGGTCGATCGAATCCGACATTTCACGTTTCCGTTTTTGCGTTCCGTCGCCGCCCCGCATAGTTTTCGCCGTTCGTGAAGTGCGAAGTGCCGACGTGGTTGCGTACGCTAACGCCCCGCATAGTTTTCGCCGTTCGTGAAGTGTGAAGTGCCGATGTCACGTGTTTGGTGCGCCGAGTGTTGACCGTTAACCTCGAATTTACAATTCGAATTTTGAGGTTATCGCAACCGATACCGCTACCGCTATCGCGACTGATATTGCGACGTAAACAAAACTGTTATCGCGACCGATATTGCAACGTAAACAAAACTGTTATCGCGACCGATACTGCGACGTAAACAAAACTGTTATCGCGACCGATACTGCGACGTAAACAAAACTGTCTGATCACGTTTGTGTTTGTTATTGACAACGATAGTCCACTTCCGAACACATAATGCCGAATAACGATAAACTGAACGATATACCCCCCTCGAATGCTCCAACGTATCTTGAGCTTTTCAACACAGTCACGGCTTTAACCGAAAGATTACAGCAATTGGAGGCAGCGTCTGACACGGGTCAGCAATCCTCGGAGATCGTCAACCCACCGGCTGCGACCTCGACGGTCGATTACCGAATTCTTCCCGATGCTGGGACGTCTATTTGGTCATTCTCGGGGCACGAGTCCAGTGCCGAGGCGGAAGATTGGATTAGTTCGGTCGACGGGCTGGCTCACGTAAATCAGTGGCCACTACGTTACCGATTACTTTACGTTCGCTCACACGTAACCGAAGCCGCGCGGAGTTGGTTTCTGCTCGAACAGTTCGATGACTGGAACACATTTGTTAAAAGGTTCCACGCAGCGTTTGTACGCAATCTGCGAAAAGCAGATTTGTGGCGCGAGCTTGAAGCACGTATTCAAGCCCCTAACGAACCATCAATAGATTACTTCTACTCGAAAATTGGATTGTGTCGTTCGCTAAATTTATCGTTCGCCGAAACTCGGGACTACGTTCTCGAAGGACTAAGGTCGCAGCAACAAGCCGAATGGGTCTCAGGCCGTCAACAGTCGGACAGCGACGGATTGTTGTCGGACATACGCGACTGGGAACGACTACGCACCAAAAGGCAACAGTTGTTTACGACAACGTCGGCCCCGAACCGAAACAAACCCTCGACTTACGTTAACGGGTGTACGCACGCAAATTCGTCGAAGCAACAACCCGATGCCGTACCGACGCCAAAGGACGTCGTCAAACCGACGGGCAAACCGCCAGGGAAAACGACGTCCGATACATCGTACAAGGGAATCGAAACGTCTCATACCTCGGCTGTCAGCTGCTATAACTGCCGAGGTCAAGGGCATATATCACGTGACTGTCCACGTCCGCAACGACCGATGAAATGTACCGGATGCGGTTCGAACCAACATCGACGCAGTAAGTGTCCAACGTCATCCGCAGAGCAGGCCGCAAAGGGTGAACCCGGACAAGCATACCAAGTCGACGCAGCGCTCAGCGTTCGGAAGCCGAACCCGTTTTTGAAGAATGTAATGTTGAACGATGTGTCGTTCACAGGTCTGATCGATACTGGTTGTTCAGCCGTATTGGTACGACAGTCAGCCGCGGCGAAGTGTCGACTCATCGTCGAGCCGCAAGTTTGTCCGCTATACACCGTGGGCAATGTTGACCGACCAAGCGTGAGCGCCGTAGGCAAGGCTGTAGCGAAGGTAACAATTGACGGTGTTGTCGCCGATTGCCACGACGTAAAAATAGTTGACGACGTTCTCATCCCGGTGGATGTTATGGTGGGACGCACTTGGCTGGAGCTCCCGCACGTCAATTATTACAAACAAGGATATGAAATAATTTTTGAAACGAATTGTCACCTCGACGGTAAAGAGTTGACAGATGAGATACACGGCGATTATCCGCAGGTGTTAATGACCGAATGTGACGCGAACTCAACCCACGTCGAACCGATCACAGACGACGACATTAAAATCGGACCAGAATTGGATTCAACTTGCCGTAAAACGTTGTTATCTCTTATTAACGAATATCGTGGCGCATTCGCGAAATCGATTGGCGAGCTGGGTTGTACGAACGTTCTTACGATGGATATTATGGAAATCGATAATTGCACGCCTGTGAGACAGAAACCTTATAAGACGTCGCCGACGGATCGGCGTACAATATCAAAAATACTCAAAGACTGGAAGCAAGCTGGGATTGTCGCTGACTCTACCTCCACCTACGCAAGTCCGGTGTTACTAGTCAATAAGGCAGACGGTGAGAAGAGACTCTGTGTCGACTACCGCAAGCTGAATCAGCAAACAGTCACGCAGCCGTTTCCCATGCCAGACGTCGATTCACAATTAAGTAAGCTTGCAGACGGACGCATCTTTACGACCTTAGATTTGTCGAACGGGTTTTTACAAATTCCGCTGTCGGAGGAAGCAAAGGAAAAGACGGCATTTGTAACAGAAGACACCACGGCCCGATTCGAGAGGATGCCGTTTGGACTAAAAGGCGCCCCCGCGACATTTCAGAGGTTAATGTCCGCCGTCTTCAAGAATTTGAGCGAAGCAGGGAAGGTCCATACTTACCTTGACGATATTATCATACCGTCCAAATCTGCGGACGACATGCTCGAAGTTCTAGAACTAGTGTTAAGGGCACTCGTAGAAGCGAATCTTACGTTGAAACCATCGAAGTGCTCATTCGGAATGAGCACATTGGATTACCTAGGTTTCCGAATCGCAGAAGGTGAAGTACGTCCGGGACGTAAAATAGACGCGCTCTCTAATTTTCCGCGACCACGCGATGCCCACGAAGTTCGGAGGTTCCTGGGACTCGCTGGGTATTTTCGACGCTTCATAGTAAAATACGCGGAAGTGGCCGAGCCATTGACACTACTAACCGCGAAGGACGTACCATATGAATGGCGAGACGAACAACAGGTCGCTTTTGAAAAACTAAAGAACGCGTTATGTGCGGACCCAGTCGTCGCTATGTACCGTCCTGACGCCGAAGTCACCGAAATACACACCGACGCGAGTTCGAAGGCTCTTTCGGGAATATTGTTTCAAGGGCCGAAATCGACACAAATAAAAATGGTTTACGCGGTAAGTAAACGAACCACGTTGGCTGAATCAAAGTATCATTCCAGCCGCCTGGAACTTTTTGCCATTATTTGGACCTTGAATCGGTTACGCCAATACTTATTGGGAATTCGATTTACCGTCGTGACCGATTGCCAGGCACTCGTGTATTTAAACATACATAAGACCACTAAACCTCAAATCGCCCGTTGGTATGAAATCTTTCAAGAATTTGATTTCGAAATAAAGTATCGACCGGGCACGCGCATGCCCCACGTTGACGCGCTAAGCCGAGCGCCATACGACGAGGAGGGCACCGTCAGATCAGTGGAAGATGAACTGTCCGACCGTGTCGACGTATTTATCGCCATGACAAAATTCGAAGCGGTTCGACTACTGCAAGCCGCCGATGAACGTGTCCGTAGTTTGGTGGGAATTCTGTCCGGAGTAGACGGACAAACCAACGAGACGAACAACGAAATAGAAGGGTACCAAGTTACCGACGGAATATTGTACAAAATACACAATGGTCGCCCCCTACTAGTAATACCGAAAGCAATGCGGAAGGGAATTGTGATCGCGGCGCACGACTATGCCGGACACTTTTCGGTTGATCGTACCGTCGCACGTATACTCAATGATTACTGGTTCTCGGGACTAAAAAGGTATGTCAAGCAGCACATTGCAATGTGCGTAGACTGTCTCGTTAACAAGAAACCAGCCGGATCGAAGCCCGGCTATCTACATCCGATACCCCCGGGGAAACGACCGTTCCAAGTAATACATATCGACCACCTAGGTCCTTTCGAAACTTCAGCGAAGAAAAACAAGTACCTACTTGTCTTGGTCGATAATCTGACGAAATACACGCAACTATTCCCGTGTAAGACGACCAACACTGCAGCCGTTCTGCGCATCTTGGAACGATTTTGCACAGAACGAGGTATTCCCGATCGGATTGTTTCGGACCGCGGGACGTGTTTCACCTCACACGCATTTGAAACGTTTTGTAACGAACGAGGTATCCGACACACCCTGAACTCCACACGACACCCGCAGGCTAATGGCCAGGTGGAAAGGGCTAACCGTACAATAGTTACACTGTTGAGTGTTACCGGAAGAGACCATACTAGCTGGGATATGCAATTACGGCAAGTGGAGAACATGCTAAACACCGCACCAAACAAATCCACGACGAAAACGCCTTACGAAACTTTACATGGTTATCTGCCTCGCTTCTTCAAGGGTATTCTACCCACTCTTAGTCTCACTGGAACCGACTGGCGCGACCCTCATGACGTTCAAGCCGAGGCACGTGAAAACATCACTAATGCTCAGGTAAAAATGAAAATTGCTCACGACCGGAAGAGATACGAAGGCATAAAATATGAAGTGGGTGAAATTGTGGTGATGTTGAAACAGCCAGTTCCACATCTATCAACAAAACTACAATCAAAATATCGTGTGAAACCGCTGCAAGTGGTAGAAGTACTGCCGAGTGACACCTACCGCGTCGCTGAAATCGCCATGGATGGACACGAGACTTACGCGACTACAGCACATGTCTCACAATTAAAATCTTGGAAAGTCCTGAAGGAAGACGACGACGATGGAGACGAGGATGACGTGATTCGGGAAGCCAATAACGGGGAAGGAAGGGCCGAGCAATCCACGTCGACCTTACCAGTTACCAAGCCAAGGCGTAGCGCTAGAACTCATCGACAACCGAGGTATCTCGACGACTATGCATAACCACCCATACTTTATTTTATATTCGTTTTTGGTGATTATTAAATTCACCCTATGTATTATTATTTAATATTCGTTTTTGGTGATTATTAAATTCACCCTATGTATTATTATTTAATATTCGTTTTTGGTGATTATTAAATTCACCCTATGTATTATTATTTTATATTCGTTTTTGGTGATTATTAAATTCACCCTATGTATTATTATTTTATATTCGTTTTTGGTGATTATTAAATTCACCCTATGTGATAATATTTCAATTTTTTTTATGTATATAAATGAAAATTACACATGTTAATGGGGACCTGGCCCGAGGACGGTCCAGCGGCCAGGACGGCCGATTGTTAGCTCCTCCGGTGGCAACACTGGGCCACGAGACGGTCGCTCCGGGCGGCTTGACCCGACTCGGCCATACCCTCGCTCTGTTTCGCCGTTACCGCCGGACACGACGCGTGTGTCCGCGGACGAACTGCCGTTATCCGTAGTCACGCGTTTTTCGCTCCGGCGACGTTTGTATTTTAAGTTTAATAAATCGCACTGATACTGTAAACCGTGTTATTGTCTTTTAACGACTGTATCCTGACACCTCCCGTAAGCTTAATTCATAACGCTTTCAAGTGTAAGGTAATAATATAAGGGGTGACTATTCATCATTTTTATATATGATTTATTTGTTATTTAAAAAAGAGTGAAAAAATAAATGGTGTTAATAATAAACGGAAGTCTGAAAACTAAAAAAAATAACTAACAACGCGTGAGAATAGCTTTTTTATGATTTAAAACAAAGTATGAGTACCTATATAAAAATACTAGGTATCCTTTATTGTATTATTCAATTTTTATTTTTATTTAAGAGTGTCTGAGTGGGCTATAATATGACCTACCGTCTGAAATATTAAAAAAAATGTCAAGAAATTATAATTAAAATTCAGCTTTGAAGAGATAGTGGAATTTATGCAAATAATGGAATTCAAACTTCAGCGATTTCGCAAAGAAAAGCCAATAAAGAAACTTTAATATTAATAATTATACTTAGGTATATGGGAATTATATAATTTTAACTTCAATACTTGTACCTAAACTTTATCGCATAGTAGTTACTAGCTATCGAAAATAGTATTATTTAATATGGTAGTATAGGATATAAATAATGAATATATAGGACCATTGAAAAAGTTGTAAGAAATAATAAATAAATAGCATTTTGCTAAACTAGATTGAAATATTATATTAGGTACATATAGCTTATATAATTTATTTACAATTTGTATGAGTAATAAATAAACCTATTTCACTAAAATTATATTGAGATTGCTGCAGTGTATATCACAGATTTTTATCTGTGTGTGTATAATTTAATGTTGTACCGTAAATAATTTTAATATAAAACAATTAGTATAATATATGTATAATGTATACATTTAGTAATAATAGCACCGTTATCTTGTTCATTCCAGTCGAGAAATGGTAGAGTTAAATTATAATTGTTTCATTTAGGTTAAGTAAAGAAATAACATAAACGATACTGTACGAAGGAAGGTACCTAGTACTACCTACCTAATGTTTTTCTAAATAATTTTTCAGGAAAAAATAAAAAACACCCTACTCAAGTTTAAAATATTATGAAACATTTTTTAACAAAACAAAATAACCAACCAAAAATTAATGATAATATGTTATTTCCGAGGTAAATAATGTAGATCAAATAAAATCTCATCAAATAAGTTAAAAAAATTGTTGTATATTTTAATTAGGGGCATTTATAAGATTATGCAATGCTTTGTATTTATGTCCACTTTTATTTTACATTTTCAAGAAACCAAACGTGCTTGCTTGAATATCGTGTAGCGCTTAGACGTTTAACAAACATGTCTTATCTATATACTTACATTCTATGTGCAATATACATAAATATAATATTATATACAAATTTTTATATACAAAACCCAAAAGTTCATGCAATTCACACCAAAACAGTCAATAATTAGTATAAATAAAATAATAAAATGTAGGAACATAATTTAATCGTGTCTTTTCAATAATTAGTTAAAGATTAATATTATTGTAACATTCGTTTTGTTATAGGTATATTCATGGCAATATAATTATATAAATTATTCTGGTTAATGTAATACACCGATACCATGGGAGGAAAAAAAAATTTACAAATTCGACCGATTCGGGTCGACGGATCATAATAGACGTCTCCTCTGTTTTGGTAAGCGAAAAAAAAAAAATCACTTTTCCAAGGTGTCACCGACTAATTGATTACTTACGGTGATATAATATTATAATATATTATTATACTATGGGCAGGCGGTGTGCACGAACGCGAAACTAAATACAAATAATCGGCGACGACAAGGAATAATATTATTATATAAAACTATATATATATACATCCACTAAAATACGGTGCGCAATATAATATCATTATATGGCCAATGTGTGCACTATACTCAAATAATAATAATAATAAATAATAATAGTGAGTGTGGCCACGCCGAAGTGTGTGTTTGTGTGTGTGTGTGTGTGTGTGTGTGTGTGTGTGTGCGCGCGCGTGTGTGAGATTGAGCGTGTCTACCAGATATCCGTCCTGTCCGTAAAATGATTACCTTGAGTGGTCTCGCTGCGGGCCTTTTGAAGCGCCATCAGCATGTTCGGGGACTTGGTGGTGTGCTGCAGCCGGGGACTGGTGGCGTTGGCCTGCCTGTAACTGTCGCTGCGCTTCACCACGGACTTGATCTCGTCCAGGCTCGTTTCCAGGCACTCGGTGGGGTCTTGCATCCGGACGTACGCGCCCCGCACCACCTCCTTGGGCGACAGGCTCCGCCGGGTGGGCGAGATCAGCGGCGACACGGGCTTGCCGGCGGCGTCGGCCGGACACCGACCGCCGTCCGGCAACACGACCACCCGGGACGGGGGGGCCCGATGTCTGCCGAGCGCCGTGGCCACCGTCAGCGGTAGGCCCGCGGTCGTCTTGCACGAGCGCCTCTGGCCCGGCGAACACGGCAGCGGTATGGGCACAAGCGGTTTCAACTGGACGGCGGCCGGTGTATTACGTTCGGCTTGGAGTTTCGGCTTGGCAGCGACGATGTGTACGGCGGAGCTGAGCACGCCGGCGCCGTTCGGCTGTTTGGTCACCGGTCGGACGTTCAACGGAGAACGAGGTATGACCTGAACATAGACAAATCAATCAATAAAACTGTTATCAGAGTAATTAGGTAAAATATGGTGATATATTACTATGGTATACGCTAACTGACGTAATCAATAGACTGCTTGTACCTATACCCAATAGGCAATATTAATATTATAGACGGAACATCAGCCCAACAATTGGGTGTATTCAACCGGGGAGGTCGTCTCCCCGTCAGGTTTTAGTGGGTCCAAAATCGAGTCGATGTGACGAATCGGCTATGGCAATCGCTATTTTTATTTCGATAGCAGAGACTTAACTATATAGTTGTGAAAACGAAAGACAACCATATTTTAGAAGAAATCTCGTAGGCTTTTTTGGAATATTAATCAAACAATTGTTTAAGAAAAAAACCATACGAGTAAATTAAATATCTCAAAATGTACTCAACCGATTGACTGAGAGATGTCTTCAATATTGTTATCTTTTGTTTGTACGGTATAAATATTTCGTCTCTAAAATCTAACTAGAAACAGCTGTAATCTGTCACCGATTAGCGTCGACACGTGTTTTAAAGATTTGTGTTTACGATTTCGTACCGACGACGAACAATACACCAACAAGGGAGTTGGTTGTATAATGACACCGCGGGACCCTACCTGTACGGGGCGTGACTTTGAATTACAATTTAAGTTTACCTACTTAAATATTTCTAATCGTACTAAGGTCGCGTCAAAATTCACCGATGTAACGTTTCCTCTCGACGGATCTAGACGTATAAACGTTGTATTTAATTAAACACGAGAGAATCTATATATAGCGTACGGTATAGCTCAGAAACATATTAAATAATCAAATAATCCAATTATAAGTTTTCGGTACAAGTTCTACCTTAAACGACGTGCGCTGACGTTCCGTCTTAACGAATAATAATAACTATATACTAAATAATAATAAACCCGCGACATCCGTGAGACATGTTATTAATATTTAATACGCTGTCGTACACGGACGACCCGCCGGAAATTTCTCGATGCGTACTTGTGACAAAACGCTGTTGCAGTGGTCGTTGACGGGCAGCAACCGGACGTTGGCATTAACGCACGGACCTGGCTCGAACGTATTGGTCGTGTGAGTCTTCTTCCGGCGCTTCAAGCTGTCCGACGTGTATATGACTCGGCCCTCGGAGTTCAACGTCACTCGGGCGCCCGCCGGCCTCTGCCGCTCGGACGTGCCCACGGCGGGCAGCTCGTCCAGGTGCACGAATCCCTTGCACGTCGCCAGTTCCGGGGGCTCGACGATAGCCTTCGATACCGGTTCGGGTATCGCGTAGTGCGCCAGCGTGACGTACTCGCCGTAATCGTCCATGTCCGGAACGATCGCCCTCATGGCGGCGGTGCACGTCTTCAGGCTCACCTCGTCGTCGCTCATCGGCGGCGTGATGACGCACATGGACGGTATGCGGCTGGTGTTGATGGTGGTCTTGACCCGGAGCCTCTCCACCCGGTCGACGCCCTCCAGGTCGGAACACTCGGACATCTCCAAGTCGACGGACGGGTTCGTCACCGAATCCACCGGCGAACTGCACGTGTTGTGCCCGCTGTCCGGCGAGTCGCCGCCGCCGTGTTCCAGGCACGGTCTGGGCTTGACGTCGATCATCAGTCCCTCCTCCTTGTACCTGGTCACGTTCTCCTTGGTCAGCCGGGACGGAGCCGTTTTCGATTTGTCGTACGACGCCATCGACGAGTCCTTCGGGCCGTGCGCGTTGTTCCGGTCGGGCAGCGAGCCGCCGTAAGAGACGTCCGCCGCGGACCTTTCCGACAGCTTGCTGCCACCCCTCTCCGGCACGTTCGGCGGCGATACCATCAGCGACGTGCACACGGTACCGGCCGAACTCGCCGTGGTCGACGTGCTGCCCCGGCCGAAGACATCGTACTCGCTCTCTGCAGACGACGACTGGAAACTGGGCGTAAGCGCCGACGTGGAGTGCAACGCGGACATCGGCTGCGGCGGATCCTCCTCCCGGAGCGTCTTCAGACCGCTGTCCACGTGGAACGACGTGTAGTATCCCTCGGTATCACACGAATACGTGGAACCGGTTTCCCCTTCGTCGCTGGTCACCGAACTTCCCCCGTGGTACGTCGGCTTCGTGCTTCCGCTGCAACTGCTGACGCTAGACCTGAAAACACACGTGTGCAGGTCGTATTATAGGTAGATATATATATTACAATAATTTTATAATCGTTGAAATGTGTTATTATTATTGTTGTTAATTTTTATTCCGTGAATTATTTTGAGATTTAAAATACTTACCGATTATCGTATTTTTATAGCAGCACTATTTACCTAAGCTAATCGTTGTTATTATTATTATTATGATTATGATTATAATATTAATTTGTCGTATTTTTAATTATTTACTTTGACCACTGCTCGTCATCTCATCCTCTTTTGTGATTTAACAATATTATACAATCATTATCATTCATGCATAGAATCATTCATATTGGTGGTGGTACTCGGTTGTGATTTCAGTTTTTAATTAATATTTGTCGGTGTTATTTTTTACATTTATGAGTACACCTGAAGAATAGTATACTTGTTTAGTATACTTGTTTTGAGTACAACATAAAATTATATGCAGATATTTATTGTGTATTTTCAACAAATTTAATTGATCTAAGTTCTACTAAGAACCGATTCTAAAACGGGGTATTTTATAGGTAATATAATATTTAAATAGTAAGTATCAGATAAACTAAATGTCTTGTTTTATTATAAATACATTCATTATTTTTTTCGGTCGAGTCCATTTCAGTTTAGATTAGTTATTCACAACCTAGGGCTTAGGACCACTTTAGAGTGCACCGACTAGTTTTTTTGAGGCATTAACTGGTTAGTCGTGACAACGTATGTATACTATATACTATGTAATATGTACCTATTGTACCTATTTTACCTAAATAAGAAAAAATTCCTGGTGTCACAAAATAATGTAAAATCTAATTTTCGAGCAAGGTCACTTTAAAGAGGTTAAGAACTTAAGGATCACTGGTTTAGATAATATAGACTTATTTGGTTTGTACTCTGTGAACGTACATTATTACCTATTACAATTCGTAAGAGTACCTATTAATATAAATTAGGTACAAATAATACATTAACAATGAGTTCAAAAAATCCTGATCATTTTTTTATTATAGAAGATAACACAGTTACTATAATGACTGATAACATTTAAAAAAGTGTATCTACATTTTTCCTCTTCACATAAATCTTTTTTTTTGGTATTGGTAATGTATGAACAATATAATGGGGTGTCTTATCTCCAGTCTATGTATACATTAAATGTACTGACATTTAAAAATATAATAGTGTTATATGAATGTGTCTGGTTAAGTTAAATTGTTTATATACTAATAGAATAAATTGTGCTCTTAGTTTTATTTAAAACGTATACATGTTTTCGTGCAGTTCTTATAAGTGTTATTTTAACATTTTAAATTAAATATTTAAAAAAAAAACATAACAATTATTTATATTATTTATTGAATTATTTACGTACCTACATATAATGTTTATAATTAAGATTGAAACCTAACCCTGTAAGGATGTCAAAAACTGGTTCTTAATTATTTTCAATATAAGTGTAATTTTTAATATCTACTCGATTTTAAAAAAGTTTACTTGTCGATATTTTTGACATTAATATATATTTAAAAAAAATATATAAATATTTATGACTTCTAATTTATATAGTTCCAGTACTGTTTAATTCATAAGATCATGAAATTATGTATTGAATAAATTTATCATACCTTGGTATGTGACTAGTCGAAGTAGACTGTCCACTCTCTGAACTTGCTGACCAATTTCCAGATGAAGAATGCACTGGTTCTTCCTTATCCCATTTTCTTCTTGCCAGCCCAACTCGTCCTTTATCTCTGAGCTTCACTGTTGCCGACGATGCCGGTTCTGTGTTTTTAAGTTGTTTAAATCTCATTCTTCCCCAATCTTTCAACAAATCAAGATTTGACCTTTTCTCGGTCACCACAACGGTCGTGCTGCTGGACACGATGTCATCAGAGTCTTTATTACTATCAGATAGTGAACTAAAAATAAAAATAAACACGTTATTTAGAGGTTCAACATTTCGATTAAACCCAATAGGGTAAGTACTATACCCAATAACGGCTTCTAATTCTTTTTGATCGGTTCCAGCAATCGTATTCCTCCTCTTGCCTCTAGGTCTTTTGCTCTTCCGTCGTCTAACAGACGTTTCATATTCAACGTTCTGCAGAGATCTCCTAAGCGCGCTCATACGGTTAAAACTCCGGCCGGATACGTCAACTTCGACTATTTGCGGCGGGAATCTAAAAATAAATAATATATATGTTTTTGTGAAATGATACGAAAATCAATAATGACCGAAAATGTGTACGAGTATGCCTATTGTATTATTGCAGCATAAAAAATTATCACTTACTTATGTGCGATGACCTGCTGCTGTTCTTCGGGCGATGGCAGCTTGTGGTCGATTTGATCTTCTGAAACCGGACTCGGATCTCTAGGTATCCTTGATGAACAATCAGGAGCTACGGTTATATCTCCGAGAACTTCTTCCGATGTCCATGGACGGAGATTAGTGATGGCCGCAGGCTGTGATGTATAGATAAAATCAAAGTTAAATTAAATACAGTTATGATAATATGGAAGTATCGTCCTCTGTAGCTTATAATTATTAAATGTAAGTATATTACAATATTATACAAATTATATGAGTGGACACTTTTTGTTCGTTCTAGCATTGTAACGTTTAACGTTTCTACGTACAATGCTAACATTTAAAAAATATTTTTAAACACTCATAATTTATTATTTTAAACATTTCGAATGATTGTTGTTGTTTATAATAATAAAATACCAGAGTGTTTTATGTTTGTACTTAAAGTATATCTAACGGCGTGCACATGGTTGGTGTCCGAATCGAATGAATATATTGTTTTGTACATCTAACAACACAAATGCAACCTTGACCGGTACAATTGAGAATAGTCTGTAACGTTTGTCTTCTAATGAAACACTGTATGAGTATTCAGATGATTCAAGGGCAGGTTCGAGTATAATAAAACTTTCTCGCTGGTATGAGAATTTTATTTTCAAAATTATATGCCTACCTAATTCCAAATTTCTATTTTTTATTGTACTTGTATTACTTTTGGCGTGTAAAAAAAAATAAAAAGTTTAATAAAGGTAACAGAGAAACTAGGACATTGATTTGTTTATACATGCTTTTTTATAGTGAATTAATTGGATTCAATTAATACAGTGGAATACATTATAACGTAAATAGATCACAATTCACCAGCTGGTATTAAAAATAAATAGGTAATTACCTAGATACTCTTAGTTGTAACTTCAATACAACAAATAAATTATACGGCACTTGCATAATAATATTCATTTTTAATTGCTCATGCATCGTTATGTCATTTTTTAGTTTTTAAAATTGATATCATAAACCATTAAAATTTGCCGTAATGAGTTAAATTTATATGTATAATATATTTTTATACATTCATGGAATTTTTTATAAAAATCAGTGAACAAAAAATTATACACAGAACAATGGATGAAATAAATTGTTATTCTTAAAATATAATACAATGTTTAGTTTTATGAGTCGATTAGATGATTGCAACCACCCATGCTCAACACACCTGTTGCATCCGGTTTTAATTAATCTTTTCCTCTTACAAAAGTTTATAATTTTTTTTGAACATTTTTTTCGTACTAACTGTTATGCGTGTACCAAAAGAGTTAGCGTCATAAAACACATTTAATATCCGTTGAATAATTAAATTCACACAGGCCTCATCGTCATTTCAACAGTTCAGACCCTTTATTGCTGTATATGATAATATATTATACATATATAAATATACAATTTTTATTATCTATATGTATATTTGTATATTGTATAATATTATGCGTGATCTGGTAGAATTTAAGAAAATCGTTATTTTATTTGTTTATATTAACGCTCAAAATATTAATAACTGTGCCGAAAACTCGCATAGGATGTTGGAATAACGGTCGTATTCCGTGCTATGAATTTTGATCTTATCATTAATATCGAAACGACCATTACCAACGTACAAGTATTTTGTAGGTATGTGTGTTTGAAAGTTACTAATGTGCGTAATATAAAATGATTTTAATGCGGTTAAATCGAACTGAGATAAAACGTTTAATGTCGTTATAGATGGTTTGTATAATTTGTATAATTTGTATAATAAAATCATTAGGTATTGTATTAATGGATATCGACGTTTTATTTTTTTTTTTAGCACTCATATTATTATTTCAGAATATCGTATAGACGTACAACTTTATACTACGTTTAGTTATTTTTGTGATTAAATAATATATAATATTTATAAATTATAGTTAAACAAACGTTTAAAGTATTAAATCCACCAGAACTATTATCCTATAACATAAAATAATAAGAATAATATTAAATAACGGACCTTTCTAAGTTCTATGTCGTCGGGTAAAAGAATGTCGTCCAGTGATCGCTTCCTTCTCGATAATCGATGGACGTGAGGTTTGTTGGCGTATACTTTACTCGGTACTCCGGCTTGATCGTAGAGCCTTTTAACCCAAATAGGTCTATTTTCTGCTAACAATAAATTCTTGCTCTCGACTTGCTTACTCTTAAAATGTTCTGTTTTTAGACTGAACGCTGTCAGGTCACTTTCAGCTGCAAAATAATAAAACATAATATTATAATACCAGAAACATTAGACATACGTTGGTACAACGATGTACTATAGAATTACCACAATCATCACATTACACATGTGACCCTACCTATATAATTTAATATTTAAGGTAACAATACGTTTCTTTACCAAGGTCTGTGTTTATATATTGTACTGCACTAAGATGCTCTCACGAGCAAATCGATTCATGAAATGCAAATTTAAATCTAGCTATAATTATTATGATTACTGTATTAGTGCAAGTGCAATGGTCCCATTTCACCCGAGGTGTATTTCATTTGAAATCTCGTTCCATTGTAAGACACGTGTATATTACGAGTAATAGTAGGTAGGTATATTGAAAAATTGTATTTTTGTAGCACGTTCGATTTATCGTGATCACCAAACGCCCATCTGTTTAGAGAAAATATTTCTATTTTCTATTATTTACACCATAGGTCACAAGTTGCTTATAATATGGCTACCGGTGAAAGTCACCGTATACATGATGTTTATGGACGTAATTAGTTTTGCATAGGTACATACGAACAGAAATCTATCTCTGAAGTACCTGCACATCCTACCCACAATATATTATTGTATTCAACGTACAAGTTTACTTAACAGTTAATATTGAGATTTTATATTTAGTATAAATGCAATTTAATGTTTTTGTAATAAATAATTGAATTTGAAATACTTTAAATAATATAATAATATTTAAATATATAGGTATACAATATACAAGTTTTGAAATTTAAATATATAATTTTTTTTATTTTAAATTAAATATTAAATAAAACAATTGGAGAAATAAAGTTAAGGAACTCTGCTTAGTGTTGGGCAAACTGAAAAACAGTATAAACCCTGGCCTTGAAATGGGAAGTATGAAATTTAAATAAATTTTAGGTATCTTATAAATATAAAACCATTGTTTAGAAAATAAATGTTATTAAATTAAATAAATATTTACTATTTACTAGTATTTATGTTATTGTTGTAATATTAAAAAGTATTCATTTTTTGTTTATGTGAACTATTATAGTAACTAGGTATATAAACACCTATAAAAAGTGTTATGATTCGATATTAATAAGTGGGTTAAATTATTATTACATAGGTACCTAATTGACATGAGTTATTTGTTACTACACAGTTTGATACAATTATAGTATATCTAGTTAAAACATGCTTCTTCTGAACTCGATATTTTTACCAATAAAGGTAAAAAATAATCTTGAAAATTATTGTTTTTAAATAAATGATCAAATTAAATTAGCTATAAATATCAATAAATGATAATAAATGAATTTTTAAAGGTCATTTTCAGGTTTTATTTCTCATCTTTTAAATGTAGGACACACAAATTATCCTTAATGTTAAATGTATTGCATTAAGATCAAGAGTATTTTATCATTAATCATTTTATTAACATTATAATATTATGTTCTTTAATTGTATTTATGTTTTGATAAAAAAATTAATCGTTTAATCGATTATATAATGTTTTTTATAAAACTTAAGCTACAATAATTGCTTAAGTGTGTCTTACTTTTTAAATAATATACATTCATTTTTGCAAACAAAAATTCGGAATTTGCATAAGCCTCAAGAGTGGTTTTCATTATAAACATCTACCTGGCAAAGTGGAATAAATTCATGTACAATGTGTATATTGTACCACACACACAGACATATATATATATAATAGTAATAGTTTAAATATATAAATTCTCGACGATTTTGGTGTGTATGAAACTAGTTCAAAAGACAACTCGTGACTTGTTAATTAAATATGATATAATAAGGATTTCAGGTTTTTATGTAATGCATGTGTAAGTGGCGTAACCGTGTGCAAATAAGACACAAGAACAATAATTATTATGTCACAACTTTTTTAATAAATTTGCAAACATTACTGATCTGTTATATTTATATAAGAATTAATTGAACCGTATATAATACTATGGACTGTATTTTTTTCTTAATAACGCAATAAAAATAACGAATCCTGCAAGTGACGAAATTGATTGACATTTAATTTTGAATTAAAAACAATTATTTTGTATTATTTGTCTAGTAGACTGTAACAATACAACGTAGTTGTTTATTCGACTTTATTTCGACTTAACAAATTTTTTTGAAAAAACCCACAAGCGCTTTATTATACCTATTATATTGTTGCATAGGTACTTTATATTTCATAAAGTCTTGTCAAGTAATATTTTTATAGAAACACGTGTCAAGTATCGACTTTCAAACGTCATAATGTAACTGAGGTGCTATACACGATTATCGCGATTGTCAAAATCTCCGTTTATCATATTATTATTACGTCGTAGGACGAGTTATCTGACACAACAGATATATTTAATTATCTCGCGTTATTATCAATCACGAGGCAGCTTATCTGAACGGGAAAGCTCGCTAACCACACGTCCGATTTCATCAGCTACTTTTGGGATTAGGAAAGTGTACCTAAGTAGAATAACTCACCCAAACCATACAATTTCGTTTGTACGATATGTATAATGTATTAAAATGTCGTAGTCATAAAAGCTATTTTGAGTGATTTTTTAAACATCCTTGCTAATTCCTTTTACTAAAATTATAGTGATTTTGGAATTTGTATAATATGTATACTTAAAGAACATGTTTTCAAATAGTTAATATTTTTTTATCCTCTAGTGGTACAAACTTTTTCTCAAAAACACCTACCTCTTATGTTCTTTTGGACATTTTTAAGCAAATGATTTTTTTGTAGAAACTTTGACGTATTGAAATATAGTTTGAACGATCATAGTTTCTGAATTATTCAATGGTAGGTAATAGTAATGGTCTAATTAATATTTGAATTAATAAAATATTTTAAAATAAGGGACATGAAACATAATTTGAACAAATTAGTAATTTACTAAATATTACCGATATAATACCTATATAGTAAGTATATATTTTATGGTTTGCAAAACATATATTAGGTATATCATTATACGACCAATGCGTCATCACGCATGACCACGATTAAAGATATACAGGTTGCACATCGACTACTGATAAGGTGAAATACGAAATGACTACCAATAATTAACCAGTGGCGCTCCAAGCGGCAGTATTACAATTAACCAATTATAGATATATAGGTGTAAAATTAGTTCTAAATGTCGACACATATGGTTGAGTGTTGACATTAAGCGCCACTAGTTAATTATTAACAGCTGATTTTTATAGTCACTTTGTAAATCAGTCTGGAAGCGGTTTACTATAGGGCGATGTGCAACCTGTATATCTTTAATCGTGCGCATGACACATTGTTTGCGTTCGAAACAATCACGCTATTTGTATTAATCGTTGACCGAAAAACGCAATTAATTATTATCCAGACCGGGTCCACGCGCGCTTATGCCGCATCGGCTCTTGCCCGGCGGCCGAGCGTCTTCGCCACCGCCGCCGCCGCTGCATCTCCTTTCACGTGACTGCCGCCGCGACGTTGGCATATATAGGTATACTAAAGCGCGTATTATGCTCGGCACTATAATACGACTAGAGGGTACCTACCTATATATAATAATATATATACTATTACACTATAATACTGTACTGTTGTAGCTATTACTACTGCAACTATAATATATTACACTATACGGAGCGGGTTCGGTGAACTCCTCACCGAGCCGGCCGTCGGCTGCAACTGCAGCGCACGCACAGCGGACGTATACTCGTATGTGTGTGTCTATAAAAGGCATGGACCGCGTACACGTCTTACGTTATGTACTGTATAGTCGCGGGGACTAAACGGGACCGGTCCGTCTCGGGCCGACCGGTATACGCCGTGTGGTTGTAGCGATATAATATACTAGGTATATACACATAGTTGGTACAAGACATCACAGACGCGACGGTTGACGAGAAAGACCAGAGATAGAGACAAACCACTCGGGTACGGAGAGAGACAACTTCTCGAGGGGGTGTGAGGGGGGATAGAGACGGAGAGAGAGAGAGAAAGAGAGAGACGGAGAAAGGACATGGTCGGTGGAAAGAAACGCCGTCTGTGTGTAAAACGAACGTGATGCGATTTCGAAAAATATAATGTCTTCTCTCGCCGTATATACTTAATCGTAATCCTTTTGTCGCGCGGGCACCCGAATCGTGGGAAAACGGTCCGACGCTTTCGACACACCGTGGCGATTATTAACGGGGATCTAAGTAGCTATAGGTAGGTTCTAACCTAAGAATGAAATAAATACATACTATAATATAGTACCTATGTATATTATACGTATAAAATATATAATTGCAAAGCTGCAGGTATTGTATATTATCATATTAATATCTGTGTTTTATTTTTTATTTCATTGCTGGTGTTGTTTTTTAGTTTTTGTTTCTCAGCGTATCTCCTACGCTAACGATATATCGTGCACGACGAGTTGTTGCCGATGTACGCGAATCGCGAAATCCAACACGTGTGCGCCACAATAGACGACGACCCGAGGTCGGGCCACTTTTGGCAACGCTCGGGAGTCAAGACTATTTTTACTGCCATCGACTGACCTCGCGCAAATCAAACGCACGAAATGTAAGTCAAAAGATGTATAAACAATATTATTTTTAGACGACGCTTAAAACCTCGTGATCGCTATTGGCTGGGTCAAGCTGTTGTTGATATACCTAGCGACTTTCTGGGCTAAAGTTGAATAACGCAAGGTATTATCAAACCTAACATAAACCGTACGGATGCCATACAAACAGTTGGAAGATAGTTTTTTTTTTGTGTGTACTTTTTATTTCAAGAAGTTTGCGGATATCGATAGGAATATATAGATGTGATTGTGACTAATTAAGGCACTTTACTTTTTGGGTTTGGAAAAAACCTCAACCATTTAATCTTATCTCCGTACTAATTTAAACTTGTGTGTTATTCAAGAAAATTTTGTTCATTTTACTGACCTATTAAGTATTAAGTATACCCGTTACCCACATAATATAACATTGATCGACG